AAGGTATTTAAAGATTTTACCAAATTCGACCCTGTGACCGTGAATGATGGCAAAAGTCATATAATTTTACAATTTTGTTGGGATTCATTCCGAGAAATTATCAAAATACCTTACTTCTATTTCATTTGGTTAGTCAGAAGAAGTTGTTTAATAAAGATTTAAACAAATTCGACTCATGTGTCCTTGAATATGCGCCAAATTAATTTTTTTCGCAAACGTTGTCAGGTATCAAAAAGAATTCTATTATTCTGCGTCTTGTGGATAGTCAGTCAAAGTCATCAAAAAGGTTTGAATAAATTCGACCCAATTGGATATTGAACACAGTACAAGGTCATTTTTTGGCAAACTTTGTCTTGCTTCACCTTAGGAACATTTCATCCAAATACCATGCTTTTGGGGTCTTTAAGTTAGTCGAAAGAAGTGTTCATTTAAAAGTTTTAACAAATTCGACCTCTGTGAACTTTAATTTGTGTCAAGGTCATTTCTTTTCGCAAACTCTGTCGGCTTAATCAAAGCAACCCACCAACCAAATATCAAGTTATTTGGCTGGTGGTTATTCAGAAGAAGTCGTTTAAATGGGGGGGAAATGATGCCGGACGGACGACGGACAGACGACGAACGTTACCGATCAATGTTACTGAAAAACTTAAGACAGCAAGTGAAAAAAATTGCTTAGTGTTTTCAAAGAAAAACTGATGTAAAAAAAAGTTCATGGGCATCAATGCCGAAGTAGTGCACTTGTGTTGTGGTTCATCTTGATATGCTCCTGTTATTCCTACTTCTTTCAATGAAAGCAAGAGACCCTCATGCCAAACAAGGTCATAAGCATATTCTAAATATAAGAATACTGCCAATGTATGTTGATTTTTACTAAGGGCATTTTTAATTTCAGAAGATAGCCTAACTAGTGAATCGAGGGTGGATCTATGATGATCATGTGATTGGTAGTTAGGTAGTGCTTTAAACTGTTATCTATCATTTCCGGTCCCCAAAAATAGTAATTAAATCCAAAATAATGAGGTTAAATATTATTGGGACATTCTTTTAATAGGGTATATGATAGTTTGTCTATACCGGGAGATGCATATTTTTTTTTTCTTTTCAGTGCTCTAAAATATTCCTCTAGGCTGAATGGGATGTTTAGATCTGTATCGTTTGATCCTGTGTCTACAAGCTTATTTTTAATTTCTGTGATGTTTTTATCATTGTTTTTCAAAAAAACTTCTGTATGGTTGCTATTGCTGCTGGCCAATGCTATGTTTGTTTTTGTTTCCGAACGTTTACCTAGAATAGGCATATCTTTTGGAGGAATGCCTTGTATGGCTCTGATGTTATTCCAGATTGCACTAGTGCTGGTTTTATCGTTAAAGGAACCACACCATTTTAATCACTGCTTCTCTTTGTGGTTTTTACATGTTTTGTTATATATGTTTTTGGCAGTTTTGGAGGGTTTTTTTTTGACATTTTGTTCCATGGGGTCTTTTTGCATATGCCTTCCTATCTACGTTTTATTGTTTTGGTTACTGAACATTCCTCTGTCGGCCATGGGTTATGTTTTCTATTTGGAGGTTTTCCTGAAGATTGCGGGATGCATTGTGTTGCTATATCTACGATTGTGTGTGTAAGTGTTGTTATATATGTATCTACGTTATCATTTTTGATGTCGTGTTAATTTACTTTAGTTCATAAATTTTGAAATTTGTTCCAATCAGCCTTATCGAAAATCCATTTAGAAAGGAATACACTGGTGTGTCTGATTGGTTTTAAGTTAAGTTTGGCAAATGCGGGGTAGTGATTTGATCCTAGTGTGCTGTTGCTAGTAGTCCATGTGTTAAGAGAGGTAGCTATTTCCAGTGACGCTAATGTGAGATCTAGATGTTATGTTTTCCAGTTATGATATCGACCCTTGTTGTCAATTCAGGGTCGTTAAGCACAATGATATCGTTATCAGATATTCCAATTTTCTATAAGATCTCAAACAGCTGATGTCGCACTAACCAGGACCGGTGCTGACTAGGACCGTCGTGTGTTATATCGTTTTATAGCATATTTCTGTTAATGTGTGAGTCGAATTAAATCAGCAAGTGACTTAAAGTTAAAAAGGCAAAGAAAACATATCAAAACACCGATCTAATACGACTATAAATAGCGAAGGTTATACAAATGGCGCGAAGTAGAACTTTATGACAAGAGTTGCCTCCCTTTAATCTTGCTTTATTGCTACATGAATACAGACGGCTGCTTTGAGAGAACTTGAAAACGAATGTCAATATTTGTTCCTTTTTGAGACATAAAGAGACATAAAAGCAAATCCACAACTGGAAAAGAAACAATATGTCTTCAAAATCGCACAACCAACTGCGTATGCGCTGACTGGTTGGTGCTATATCTAAAAATAAATGAAACTCGTCCACTGAAAGGCCGAAAGACCATAATAGTGGACGTGAAGTTAGTTAGATAAATAAATGAAAATTAGCGAATGTAACATGATTATAATATGATACATAATATAGCATAAGCTGATGTAATGTGACTTATCATGATCATCTTCTATAGTCAAACTTCGTGAAATCCTGCTATACTAGTTTTTTCCTGTATATTTTTGGTCTATACAACGGTGTACGACTGCATGTTGGTGTTAAGAATTTCCATTTGCATCAAACATGTATATCGTTGTATATGTGCCGTAGCAGATATCCGTGCATTCCTCGACTTCCAAACCGCGGATGTCCATATTGCTCTTGGTCAAGGTTTGTTTATAACGGACATTCAATCACTGATCAAAGACAACGAAGCCAAACACTGAACTCAAACACTGCAACATACAGCTTATTTGTCCTTCTTTGACACGATGAATAAAGCATATTTTGGAACCAATAAAGCGATTATGGAAATAAAAAATTATCGAAAGAAATGTTAAGATATAGATGGGGAGGTAACTAGCCTTATAAACAAAAACAAATTATTATCATATATCTGATAATTACAAAAGAATGTCAAGTGCATTTGTGTGAATTAAAAAGTGGCAGAGTAAAAGGAAACTTCGAATTCAAGGAGAAAGTTAACGTTCAATGCATATTGTTTATATATCATAGTTCTTCTAAACGTGCTAACGTTTTTAGAAAACCAAAACACCTTATTCCATTTGGATCTGCCATGTGCATTAAACGCTTTACAATACCTAAAAAAATGGGACAAAAAATGAATAACCACGTGAATATTATATACACATAATAGTTAGAATGTAACTCCGTAATCGATTATATTGACCACAAACCGCAAGAAAACACACGAAGCATTCACAAACGAATTTTTGGAGCACGTGATGCTGACGTGAACATACAGCTACAGAGGACTCTCGCTTTGTTCAATGGTCAAGGTCGACCGGATTACGCTTAGTTTTCCTAATGTGTATATAAGATAAACTGTGACTATAAGTATTTGTAACTGTGTTTATTGTCTAATTATATTCTATTTTCATAAATAATTGTAAATAAATTAAAATTGCAATTAAAAAATTGAAAAATACATTTTTTTCTCTCATGCAGCTGTCGTAAGCATCACTGATATTACATAAATCTGTACGGTGTTTTCTAGATATGTAAATGTTGAATATGCAGATCCATCGAGGTATGATGGTCCCATCGTTATCGATTAAACTTTTTACTAGCATTTCTATCATTTACATGTATATCAAGTTTTCATTATGTCATTTCTTTGTCAATTATTCTTAGTGATAAAATATATTGGTAAACTGTTTATCTGTGTGATCTGTTAACTGAAAAGAAGTACTGGCTGCTAAAGACACTGGGTTTGATAATCTATCATACATCCCTGCTATAGATGAATTAATAAAATATGATTTCTTTTAATTTATAAAAGAGCACACTAAAGAGGAATTTAAAAAATATGAAACACATGCATTAATTTTAATTTCATAATACACGTTTCATATTAAAAATAGAAGTTCTTATGACATGAACAATGGATCGGATGTGTTGTAGAAAGCATATATTCTATTGATATTACAAACCTGAAGAAGATGTTTATTTTATACATGTACACTGTACTTATATTTCGTTATACATATTACGTGTAATAGTACTTTTATTGACTTGAAATACATACAATGATATAATTTTCGCTTGAATGTCCATACATTGGGAGACATCAGCACATTACAGCTTGGTTACCTATATATTCTGCGACCTGCATGTTATCGAGAGTGTTACAGTGCACTTGTCCTCTACTTCACAGGCATATTCAAAGAGTGGTCTTATGAAAAGAAGATATATTTTTCCCATATTTGTTCTATTAAGATTGAACTTTATTGCAGTTTTCTTAACGTTGCGATGTACTTGTTTTGCTTCTACTGTTTTCAATGTGAGAGCTCCATGTAACATCATCGCTATTAAGAACAACTCCTAGATGTTTATAAAATTTTATAATAGGGATATATGTGTTACCGTAAAAAATGCGAATTAGAAATTTTTTTTTGTGTGTGTGTTAGAAATTAGTAATATTTCTGTTTTGTTTGTGTTGAGGTTCATTAACCAATGTTTCAGTTGCTCCATGTCGATTTTTGCAACTTGTTTTTCTCCCGTGTAAAAATCTGCTAATGCGCTGCCGGCAGCGAAACGTATTGTAACCGATAATGGTGATTTTGAAATGTCTTTGAAGTGAACAAAAAACCAAAAGTGGCAATAAAACTGAGCTTTGAGGAACTTCTGCTTTTATACACAATTACAAAATGTATATCTAATTCTGAAGATATAGTATTGTTTAGTACAGCACATTTGGCATCTGCTACTTAAGTAGTTTTTGATCCAGTTTGATAGTTTACCTTTTACCCCTTATGTATTCTAGCTCAATAAAAAAAGCCGTTTTGGAAAAAATCACAAATTGGAGTTATTTGTATCCTCCTGGGCAAAGGTTGAGAATTTTGAATTAGTTATATTCAAACGATAAAGATGAAAATAGTTCAATAGGATACCTGAGATTTACGGTGCTGGTGCGAGAATAGGAGTTGGAAATATATTGTGAATTGTGTATCTTGAACAAGGTTTCAGGTCTCCCGCTCGTAAACAGTATAATTCGGAATCCGATTCCCGGAGGTAAGCAGCAAGGATACTAAATCCACTGTTAGGAATGATTAGTGAATCACAGCTGACCAATGTGTAGAAATCTAATAATGCTTTCAGAAATCCTGCACGAGGATCATTCTTATTTGGTTGGTCAATATGGGTGATTTTCCCTGCAGTGTCTATGATATTGGCAGAATAACGTTTTTTAGCGACGTCCTTGACATGGTCAGCGTCAGATGCAATGAAAAAATCGTATTCATCTTTGTTCAATTTGTCGAAATATTTCCACAGGACTTCCAATGAGGGATTAGCTCGAGGATGGTCGCTGGGCATATTTGGATTCCGCCCAATGCGTACATGGGCACAAGCTATTTTTGGTCTTCGATGATTCAGATTTTGCTTATTCAATGCATCTCTAAGGAGAGGTGATGGTTGGAAGAGGAGAGTAAAAAGTTGTTTGTACATATCAGCATAATGTAATTTTGTCAACCATCCAATTTCTCTTCCAATGTGTGACCTACTTCTGAATTCCTCTGTAAAATCCCAATTTATTTGGACAAAACTGACGTCTTGTTTGAAATATGAGTTGATGTCTCTGGTGCCATTCATATACTGACGAAAGTTTTCAGAACTACGATCTATGAAGTTATGATATGAATTTGTATGATTTACAAGCATAGTTTCGTTGTAAATCCAGTCGAAGTGCTGAGCGGGAATCAAATAATCTTCTAGAGGGCATGGCTCATCATGTTTGATAAGCAAACGCCGTTTTGTAAGGAGAGATATGACGAAGGTAGAGAGGATTCCGGATATTCTGTCCGACCAGCCTCCGCATACTCGTTTCCTGGCTTTGCTACACTCATATACTATAAATTTTCCTGCTCTAAAAATATCTGTTGTCGCTATTGATTGTCCAAGAACGTTTTCGTAAATCTTTTTGTGGTCGACGTCACTCTGATCTTTGATGGTACTTGGATGCGTGGTGTCTATATTCCATCCCATTGTCATCCACACAATAACGACTATTATTGTTCCCAGGAAGAGCAAAGTAAGACGCTAAAATGGAAAAAATGTGTGTTATTAGTAACAATAAGCGTCAAAAATGTAGAAACGTCAAACGGAGAATAATAACGACGATAATACGAGTAGTATCTTGTGCATTTTGTTGTGAGGCCTCGCTGATCTGAAATTGTGTGTGTAGTATACTGGTAATTCTTTGCAAGTAGATCAATATTCCATTCTATTATCCTTTGCCAATCAATCGATAAAAGTCTAACCATTTTCACTTTTTTTTCAAATCATTGACACTAGATCAAAATATATTTTTCACTATAATAAAATACATCAAAATTTATTATTCACGGTAAGAAAGTGACAAGTTTGTCTGCATGGTGTCACTTCAGTAACCATTGTTAATGAATGTCAATTTTGATATTTGTCTACAGGATATGACAGAAGGTCTATATGATATATTACACACTGAAGTGTAGTAAAAAATTATATATCAATACTTTTATCAAAAAGTTGTTATTGCTTTAATTGAATTCGCTAGTTTAAAAATATGAATTCAATATAGCAACAAAGAAAACAGACATATTTTGCATTTTGTGAAAATAAGCTTCAATAATTCCTTTGCAAAGAACATAAACAGTAAATGGAACTTCAGGTCTTAGAACACATCATACGGCGAATAAAAATTAAATCAAGCAATTCTACATTACATATACATGCGTTAAGTAGGATAGATTGTAGAATACATTTCATATACAAAGTTTATGACGTCATGGATGATACTGTGGTCAAGTACAGATTGCAGTATGCAACGGTTTCGGGTAACGTGTATCAAAAATTGGCTGTTATTAAAATAGGTTCCACACAAATAAATATTAACTTCAAAAAGTATATGACAATGTTAATCTAAACGCTTACTTAATTATATATAACTTTAATCAGTTGAAAGATTTCTCAATATTATTTTTGTCATGCCAAGCCCTGGGTCAACTTTATGTCCTAAGTGTTATTTCTTCCCTTTATATTTCACTCAACCGTATACCCATCTATTTTTGTAGCTTTTATTTTACAGTTGTATCCCAGAAGGCGGTGGTTTAAGGACCAATCAAGAGACTTCTATTCTTTCGAGTATATTACCTGTGTATCCCTGGCACTCGTGTACCGGAGATCCGTACCGTTAGTAGTGTCCCCTTGTTGGGCTCCGAGGTGGGTGAGGAGCAAGGGTAATGAAAATATATACACCTAACTATGGGCACAAAAAAACCAAAATAAACGACCTTGTCTTTCATCTTCAGACTCTGAAGGTGACCATGATTTCAACGACTTCATCGTAATACGATCGTTGGAAAAGGATAAACCAATGTCATCCGCTTCACCATTTGTTATAGCAAAAAACAATCCTATCGACATGCGGTACTCCGAAGAGTGTTAAAAAACTGCGGTCAGGCGCACTCCTCGTGGAAGTTATCCGCCAGCAACAGGCCATGAACCCTTTTGAACTGATAAAGTTTTTTTGAAATGACTGTACAGGTTGTCCCTCATTCCTTCCTGAACACATCAAAGGGCGTTATACGCTGTCCATCTCTTCAGGGATAGAGTAAAGAGAACATCCTCTGTTATTTCAAAAAAAGTCAACCATGTTAAACGGATCAGGATGAAGCGAGATGGCAGCATCCGTGACACCGATACTTTTGTTCTTACTTTTAACACCCAAATGTTACCAAAACGTGTAAATGTTGGCTTCGAAAGTGTTGGTGTGGATGTTTACATCCCAAATCCACTGCGATGCTTTGGTTGCCAGAATTTTAATCATTATTCTGATAACTGCAAGAAACGGAAAGTTTGTGCAAAGTGCGGGCCACGAAGATGGGTCGGCAGATGGTGTTTGTGATGGTCGAGCTCACTATGCGAACTGTGGTGGAAGGCATCCAGCATATTCAAGAGATTGCTCTGCTTGGCGCAAGGAAAAAGAGATCCTTCACGTCAAGTACACGAACAACATTACTCTTCCCGAAGCAAGAAAGATTGTTGAAAAGCCTGTGTGTCGTTTCCATCCTATGCCAGTCGTGCAAATGTTGATATTACGACCGTGGAGATGTGATGCAGGTACACAGACTGACATGGCGTGCGACAATCTTTCTGACCTTCGGCATGCTTCATCAATGCCTTTTCCAACACAGTCATCGCGACCACCACCATCACCATCAAAACACAATCAGAACCCCTAATCTCCATCAAAACCTGCTCCCAGCACACCAAAGTGAAAAATCAGCCAAAGCAGAAAATTCAAATTTCCGCAGAAAGAAGAAAAAGGGTCTGACGACCCAATTCACACCTTAAACCAATTCGGCTCTCTGGAGGATATGGAGTACCAGGTAGCTACTTCCAACTCCTCCAAGATCTCTATTAAAGCTGTCAAACCAAATGAGGTTAAATAAGTAGTCTAGCTAATTACCTATGGTCTCCCACTTATCTCTTTTTTTGTTAGTTATAATGGATACAATAACGCAATGGAATTGTAGAGATCCAATATTGATGAAATTCTTCGACTGTCTCAAGAACATAACCCTAGCGTAATCTGGCTCCAAGAAACGCTCACAATCGCCGAAACAAATATCAATTTAAGAAAACATTCATCGTATAATTGCTGCGGCGCTGTTGGCAACAAAGCAACCGGTAGCGTTGCTATCCTGGTTGACAACCAAGGTCCTCACATAAACATACCATTAAATACAGACCTCCAAGCAACTGCTGTTAGTGTTACGCTCCTTACTACCGATGAAGGGAAGGTGTGAACGACACACTTACTATAGTATTGAACAAAGTATTGATACTATTGTATTGAAGTATTCAAATAATCGAGTCAAGTATACAACGACCTCTGTGATTGGTCGGGGGCGGAGTTTAGACAACCTGAATAGTTGATCTGACACCCAATTTGTTCCGGTAGGCGGAGTTATTGTACACTATCAGTTACATAACAATTACTAAGTAATCGATGGAAAAATGTCCGACGACGGCAACAGTACGCAAAATTTTCTTCGACGAAATTATGTCCGATACGAACGATATGGGGAATCCTGTTTTTGTACAAGGCGATGTGGTTGTGATGGATAATTGTGGATTCCATCACCATAGACAGGGAGAGCGCATTTTAAGAAATATGATGAAAGAATATGGCGTGTCCCTGGTTTTTCAGCCGCCTTATTCCCCGGAATACAACGTAACTGAATATGTATTCAATGTCATGAGACAGAGGCTTCGGGCAAATACCCGACTTGTGTCAGAATTTCTGGAACTTGCAGTAGTAAATGCTCTAGATATTCCGCCCAAGCAACTTCAAAGTTTTTTCACATGTTGCGGATATGTATAATTTTCGATGGAAAGATAAAAAATAAAATAAAAAATATATGGGACCACAGAATTCCTTTATTTTTTAATGCAGTATGAATTATCGGTATATATCAGGAGGTCCCAGGTAATTCGTAATTCTTTGTTACATATAATAGAGCTTGGGCTTAAACCGAAATATTTTGAGCCAACCCTCCCCCCCCCCCCCTTTAAAAAAAAAATAAATAAAACTAGTACAGAATGACTATATTCACTGTTAAGATGTTATGAATTCTCCGGTCCCAGTGATCTAACCTGTTGATATATATTTTGTACGTAAATTAGTTTAGTACGGAGTAACTTTCGTTTTCTCGTTGTACCATCGATGGAAAAGCAAGGTATCATTGGGTGTAGAACGAAAAAAATGGGACAACCCAATTAGGTCTGATCTGAAGCCACCTGTGACTTGGACTCTTCCAATTAACCTCTCGCGACAGTCGAGTGTTTGTAAAATGCCGATGTCTGCACAGTATTTTTTCACCTGGCTCCACCCACAATCGATCTAGACTTGGCTCTGCCAATCAGAGAGCTTGTTGCATAAATTTAAGGAATTCGATTGGTGAAGTACTTCAGTACAATACTATCAATACTTTGTTCAGTACTACAGTACTTGAAACGTTCACACCTTCCCTTCATCGGTAGTAAAACGCTTACAGTATGCTCCATCTATCTCCCTCCAAACTCTGATTTTACGCACAACCAACGAGACGAACTCCTATCGCAACTGCCTCCCCCTTTCATACTTTTGGGTGACTTTGATCATAACAACCTTTGGGGTTCTCCCGACACTAATGACAGAGGAACAAAAATTGAAAATTTTACATTTGAAAATAAACTTTGCCTTTACAATAATAGATCTCCAACTTATTGGCATCCCTCTTCCGGAACATTCTCGCACCTTGATTTAACTTTATATCACCCATCTTTGTAACTCGATTTCGAATGGACGGTGCATGACGATTTCTGTGGAAGCGACCACTTTCCAATATTTCTAAGGAGTTGTGGATCAACAGAGAGCGAGCATGTTCCCCATTGGAAATTATATAAAGCAGATTGGAGTAAATTTGAACATCTCGGTACCAAAATTCTCAACACCATTGATTTCCTGAATTTAGAAGACCCGATAGAATCCTTTAATACCGTACTTCTTGAGATAGCCGAAGAATGTATACCAAAGTCCAAAAGAAAATGCAATGAAAAAAAACCTTGGATTAATGAAGATTGTGATCAAGCTATAAACGATAGGAAAACCGCCTTGAGGCAATTAAAAACAAACCCACAAACGAAAGCTAAAAAAATAAAACTAAAAAAAAAAAATATTCGGGCGAAGGCCCGTCGCGCTATACGCTTACACAAAAACTTGTCTTGAAGATGTTATGTGTCAAAATTAATTTCCAATACATCCACCAAAAATGTATGGGATGTGATTAAACGAATCAATAGTAAAACATCATTCAAAACAATTTGACATCTGAAAACTAATGGTAAATTAGCCACATCGAAATTTGGCATTGCAAAAGCTTTAGGATCTGCTTTTTTTTTCAAAAAATTCGTCTGCAAATAATCATTCCAAAAAATATATGACCACGCGAGAAAAAACT